ATATACACTCACTGCAATCCCTTCAAAACTGATATACTCATATCATTCATCAATGTCAATGATATTCTGTTCACTTGTGAGTTCTTCCAACAAATTAAAACTTCAAAACAGGCACAAAAGAGAAGTCACTGAGTTGAAGAAAAAAATACTAAAAACAGTCAATGACCATGTTTCTATCTGTATGTCTACAACAGACAAAATATTTGTAATGCCATATCAAGGATTTGCAATGAAATGGGCCACATGCTTATGGTTTTTCATTTGTGCCACACTCCTCTGTCAGCTTCAAACTGACAACTTGGCAGTGTGCAGGCAATGGTCAATCACATCTGACTTAATTTTGTACACGACATGATGCTGTACCATGCTAGGCAACACAGATCATACAAACAAAAATCATATGAATGTTCTCTACCCATGAACAACTTGGTAAGACTTCATGATTTCTTCAGGATTACTGGGATTTTGGACTTTCTTCATCATCCAGCATTCTTGAAACTAAGAACACGTTTCAGGAAATAGATCTGTTTCTGTCCTCCAGTGACGGATGGAAGACACCTACTCTGTTTTGTCTGTTAGAAAAAGCTAACCTCATTCACTTGACCAGAATGCAGAAACAGGTGTGTTTCCGAAACACTGTGTTTTAGTTCTGGAATACTGAACAACATTCAAAAACTTAGCAATCCCAAGTGTCACACGTACAGCATTCTCAGAACACTTTAGAATCTACCTCATAATTTATTCGCCCACAATTCCTAAAAATATATATGAATGTCCCCCACTGTTTATTTTCTAGGGCATATTTGACATACACAACCTTTTAAAACCAACTGAGTTGGATTCCCCCCCCACCTTACAAGGGAAGCAGACTGGGTATACTGTGTATATCAAATACATCACAGACAATTAGCAATGTCCAAGATGACCTCTGCATAATATAACAACCACTGTCACAAACCTTCAAAAGATCCCAACAATTTTTATTCTCATATAGAAGCACAAGAAACTGTTCAACCATTTAGAAGCACCACATAAAGAAAACTCCTCTGGTCATTTTGGGTAAAATTGTAACCTATCTCAGATCTCGCACCTCGGTAGGCTGTGTTGACTGTGTAGCAGCAGTGGAATGATGATTTGCAGGAGAACACCAAAGAAATTTGAAACAAAAACCTGTTCCATATAACTTCATCCACCACAAACCTCACGAGATCACCCAAACGTCTGTGGTGAGTAGCCAGTGCCTAACTCCACCTGAGCTATGACCCAGCCTATGAACCACAACGCTCTTTTCTATTATTCCCACAATTTGGCGGAATGAACAGTTTGCCGCCAATTTCCATATCCCAAAGTGGTGTGAAAATTCTAATGTTCAAAAAACACATGTAACATGTGTGCATTCTGCATCAGCAAGAAGACAAAAATAATAAACTTGAAACAGTATATTCAGGATTGGACTGTGAGGGTTACCTCATGTTTTAATTACAGAACATGATCCATCAGTAAAAATATTAATGTATCATATAATTCTACAAATAACGTGCCCAACTGACACAATTTTGATAAAAATGATCACATACAAGGATAATCAATGTTCTGAACATCAGCAGGTTATGGGAGTATCACAAATTCTGTGACCAACACATCATTCAAACATGTGTGGCTCTCACTCACTGAACAACACTGTCAGAAAAAATTATATATGACATGCAAGAAGTACCAGTCCTTTACCCAAGATGTGGCTAATTTCCTTGTTAATACCACAATACTTTAAACAATGAATAATATTCAAATTCAGAAATTAAAGTTTACTCATGTAATTAAAGAGAAGAGGCTGAGAATGAGACCTCAAATCACATCCATTGGTTGTCTCCGAACACTTGCGCGTCACTTCAATAGCAGTGACTGCTTTCACACTGGCAGACTCATCCTCATCTGCATCTACGACATACACTGACACAAATACCTGGATATTTTGAGCTGGCGCAAGGAACAAAACGATTTCCATCCTCATCCTCTAATTCAGAAACTTGGGAAATATACTCTAAGGAGTAGAAGTTATTCTGAAGTTAAGCACAATTCTAAAGAAATGTCTCCAAAACAATGTGTTCTTCATATGTTACTCCAGGTCTCTCTTGCTGGAAAGATATGCCAACACATTCAAAGCAAGAAATGGCACGTGCTGCCAACAGAGCAAACAAAAATCCTTGCAGTTCTTTAAGTGTCCATAATCCTGACAGTTTACTCCGCCCTCACACATCCATTCATGTTTGCTCCTACACATTTCTCAAAATATTTCTGATTGTCTTCTGTGAGCCAGTACACACATAACCTAACATTTTCTGATGGTACCCGACTCATCCTGACCTTACTAGAAGAATCTGAAGAAAATTACTGAAATGCCTTTATGCCTAATTTAGCACATACAAGTATTTTTAGTGTTTCTATATGTTAAGACACAGTATGCTTACTCTCATGTATATGCCAGGGATGTAATAACAACTGAGATATCTTAGTTACTTCAACAATCCCTGCCAAGAAACTCCCATCTAGGCATCATAATTTTAAACAAATAACACTTACCAATCTGTTGTATGACTGGTATATGTAATTAACAGCCTTCTTAGCTAAGTGACAATAGTTATGATTCAACTATTTTGTTAACATTAAGAGAGAATTACATATCCAATTTCATGTCTTAAAAATCCACGTAAATTTTGAAAAAATTCTATGACGAGCGGCCATAAATAAAAAATAAGTGAACTAGAATCAACAAACTTTTGCAAACAGTGAAATTTGTACTGCTCTTGGACAGTAACAAAAAATTTGAAAAATTTTGATGGTACTTGTCCAATAACACTGCTATATATGAAACTAATTTATTAAAATGCATAAAATGTCTACCAGTTTCTTGTTCCCAACAACAACCTATGTTGGACAAGTCTAACTTGACAGATTTAAAAGAACTTTGACAAAAACACAGACAAGAAGGTTCATAAAACTGAATACATAGTAATTTAAATTTCTAAGATGATGAAAATCATTAATAAAATTCTTTCATACTGAACTGTTTGAATTTAACAAGGTTTCACAAGAAATATAATGAATAAGTTAAGGGGAAGGTTAACTGAGAGATTTACATTACCACATGCCCACCAGCTTGACTTCTGGCAAGTGTTCTGGCACTCTACAGTACAATTATTGTGTTTCTAAATATTATCCACTATTCCATTTTCATTTAAAACACACCGGGGTTCCAACTGAAGACAGAGACAGAATCCAGTCTCCGAAATGCTGTACGTTTTAAATAAAAACAGGACGATGGGTAATGTCCAGAAGCACAAATGTATTAATATACCACTGTCACAAACCTTTAGTTCTTACTCCTACTGAGTATTAACACTGTAATTACAATTTTAAAGTAAATGTTCTTCACGTTCTACTACAGTGCAAATTATGCTGAAGTCCTGCTGCTAGGTTAACTGAACTTTTCTTCCATCTCTTCCTAGATTGTCCTAGGTCACATCTTCCTGCATGGTTGTAACAGTATGCTTGCCATGGTAAATGTTCAGGGGGTCATTCTTCCTACGACTCACTCTATTTTCTTAAGTAACAACTTAATTTCTTCTACTACATTTTCTGTGTATAGATGGTCTCATATATCCTTGCTTTTCATTCTGCCTCTCAGCGTAACTGACACTGACCTCGGAAACCTCATTTGAGAAGAACTTATTTGATGGGATATAACCACTGAAAGCTGACTAGTGTTTCATAGGAGCAAAGCTTGCTGCATGTTTCATGCTGGTTTCAGTTTACTTTTTCACCCATGCAGATGGCAGCAACATGCTCCTCTACAATGAGAGCCAATTTGCAATAGTGTTATATTGTGGAAGACAGAACCCTCCAAAACCACAACTGTGAGAAGCTCAAATTGTCATCAGATGTCAGGGGGTTCAATTTCCATCAGGTCACTGGACTTTTCAATTGACCTAACCCTTCCAACTGCATTACAGCCATTGTGTCGACTCAACCTCTAACAGAAAGGAGCACCAGGGATCTTCGTAGGGGTAAAGAGCTGCCAGTGCGTAAGGCTGACAACCTCACCACCATCTGTGACTTGAGTGTCACAGAAATGTGACAGCCTCAACATCTCACAAACGTATGCGCCTCTACGGCTTGTTAAAGGGATAGCTTTACCTTTGAGGTTCTCAAAAAAGTCACTAGAAGAGTACTATCTTATCAGATATGACACCATGTAGTCCAATAGAACTCTCCTGGTGTTACTGAGGAATATGCTGAAGAGTAAGCCATGCAAGAAACCCACCATGGGGGCAAGCTCCTTGGGTGGCTTACTCTTCAGCCCTGAATATGGAGGCAGTGCATTCCTCCAAATTGGCAGCAACTACTGGACCATGTGATGTTACATTCTGGATAACAATATTCGCTATGGTACATTAATTTTTCCATTATAGCCTCAAAATCTAGTCAAAAACCAGCCCATGGCAATTCTTTACTCCATTCATGATTTGTGTTCTACTTTCATTTAGATATGTCTGTACCTGTCATTTACTATTGCCAAACTGTTTACATGATCCAGAACAATAAGATTTAAGCTAATGATATGCATTAAATTGCAATGAAGTTTATGTTGTATCACAACACAAAGCAACTACAATTTTCCCTTTAATGTCATGTTCTTTCAATCAGTTTGGGCCTGCAGTCCGTCAAATGTGAACTATAGAACGAGAAGAAATAACTGTAGAAGCTAAAATTGTAGGCAAATGGATTTGTAATTTAGCACACAACTGTGTAACCCATAGCAAAACATGCTTTAGACATATAACTGTGCATATACCGTATATTATTTCGGTGGATACTTTTCATGACAGGACTGCACAATTTCAATACACAACAAATTACAGGTGTGAACTCAGCTGCAGCTACACACCTTCCTTCAGAGCCGCTTAATCTATGAAACATGTTTAAAATCTACCATAACTTACGGGAGGTTGATTTCTGTATCCAGTAGCAACTTGTTGTGGGCTGTAGGAAGCCAATGGCCTTTGTGGGGTCCAAGACTGATTATATGGCATATTCCCTGTTCCTTGATCACCCGATTTCTGCATACCATATTCCCCATAGCTGTTTTGGTACCGATGAGCTGGATTAGAGGATTGCAGTAACTGGTTTAATGTAGGGGTGGGTCCTGTTGGTTGAGAAATGCTTTGTCCTGAAAATAACCTTGGGGGTTGAGTATGGGATGAAAAACCACTACTTGGTGCATTCATATTGGGTCCAGCACTAGGAGGCCTTGGTGGAACCATAGGACTTCCTGGCATGGGTTTGGAACTCGGAAATCCATGCCTCATTGTTTGGGGGCTAAACTGACTAAAAGGATGATTTTGATGCAAACTGCTATCTGCACTATTCTGCACTGGATTTACAGCACCGTGCTGGTCAGGATGATAGTTCCCCCTAGCGGAGAATCCTAAGCCAAATCCTTGCATGTTTTGTCCGTCTGACCCTTTTCCATAATTTTGTTCACTTCCCGCACTTTGTTCTGAATTTTGCATAAAAGATTTTGCATCAGAATTCAGTTTACTGCTATCCACACCACTGTTATTCGCGTTTTGATCACTATTTCCCGAGCTATTATGAATAGGAGGCCCTGCACCAGACTCTTGTCGATATTGACTCATCTCTACGGTGAGGCTGTTTTGACCGGGCGACTTTGTTTTTGTATTAACTATACTATCAGATCCAACTATTCCTCGTCCACCATTCTTTTCTGTTCCATTTTGTAATACCGTATTACTTAAATCTGGAGGCTGATCTTGCTGCACTTGTTCACGATTCACCTCATTTTGTTGGCTTTCAGCTTGCGTTGCAGCCATGTTAGGCAGAACCTTCCTCGCTGCCAACACCCCGCCGCTGCAAACACATCCAGCTCTTCCTTACGTTATCCCGAAACTCTTCGAGAGCCAGTCCACCGTAAACCATAATCTTTCCATCACTTGCTTGACCACATATGTTTCAAAAAACTTGCTTCAATTTGCGATAAAAGTTCAAAATAAAACAGCCACCTTCCATCAGACACCATTATTTCGCATATCTACTTCAATAGCGCGAAAGGAGGTTAGGAGAAAAAAGTTTATATATCCATCCGCAACAATAACAACAAAAATCGCGTCCACCACGTAGTAATGAATACATTTTTCCTACATACACATACACGCACTTCACTATCACACGTGATACTGTAATCCAATCAGTAAGTGTAAGCGTAATAACAAAGTATACTTCGACACTGAGGAAGCAGGGAACTACTTTCCGAAATTAAAATCTCCGCGCGGAAGGCTACAGCTTTCCCAGTCGTCAAGCGGCCGAGTCATTTCTTCACTCGTTTGAAAAAGCTGGCCTGTGGCACGGTGGCTAGTGTTAAGCATTTTTGTTGTTTTACATGAAGTTCGGAACCAATTTTATCGCAATCAAAAATATTCACTTTAAATGTATATTGTAATAAGAAATAAAGGTACATGACGAATGTAAATATACACCAGAATGCGGTTTCGTTATGTTGTGATTTGTTTCATTTACTGCTGAGTTCATCTTCAGCCTTGGGTTGTATACGCAATGTTTATGCAATTTCCACTGGCATACTCATATTGTGGCAATTATAATGCAAAGCATCGATTAAACATTGAATAAGACAAATTTGATTCAAGAGATCACACAAGCTTTTGTGCAGGTGTTTACAATTTCGTAACGTATGACCAAATGTCAAACTTCTTACTGTGGGCAAGTTGGCAATCACGCAAGAAATGATGCGGCCCTAGACAGAGGATTATTGTCCTAAGGATTAGGTACAAGGAATCAATAACACTCACGAAGTCAGATGAATATCACAGTCTTGAAACTTTCTTGCAAATCTTTCGCAATGCATATTTTGAAAATAAATAAAGAAACAGTAATTTTACGCCATATCATGTCCTTGCACAATAGACTAAAATATCAAGAACCACCCAACTGTATCTTACAGAGTTCACAAGTTGTCCTGCAGGAGCAGCACCAACAAGCTACGTAATACCAATATGAATTTGATCCGTGTAATACACCGCCTATTTGATAATTGACACGTTGTTCGTATCAATTACGATGAAAGAAAAGCTCACAGGACAAACAATATGTACATTAAGGATTCGGTGATCTCGTCCCAGTAACCTGTACTAGAGCTATGGTTGCGTGAAATACGAGTACATCCATTCCCAATAACTTCGCCTAACAGCCCACAGGCACAAGAAAATTATGGCATCTAAAGGCGGTCCTATCGCCCTTGGTACCGATGGGACAGATTTTGCTCACCGGCAAAGGGTAGCTGCTCAATATCAAATCAGGTAAGAGGTTTATCAAGTTGTGCCCAATAATGTTCAGTTAAAATTTCACTTCGGAAAATCAGTCACTTTCTGATAGGACTGTTCAATATTTCAAGTAGATGCATTCTAGCATACGAAGCCGAAATGTGATAGTCAGATTCCTTTTATAGCCCACGGCCCAAAAATATCCATGTTTTTAATGGGGTATATAATTTTAAATATCACTTGTGACATGCTTTTGGTATCTTGTGTTTCAGTGCCCTGAACAAGTCTCGACTAAAGTATTGCATTTTTTTCCACTACCTTCTGTTTTTTGCGATGCTGGCTAAGCTGTCTGCCGATATTCTTGATCGTCTGGATATATTTATACTAGAAATAGAAGAATTGCAAATTCCAGAGGTATATCATCAGTACATATACAGTTTTGATTAATTTATTAATAGAACTAGGTTTGAATTCTGTTAGCGTTCATGAATGTAACAGGATGCAAATGTGTTATTCCCTGTGATTACTGTCTCATTTTGCATGCTTGTTTGATTAGCACACCAATATTTACATGCATATTTGATAAGAAGATACTCCTTATATTCCCAATTACAAACAAGATATTGAGGACTGACATTACTTTTTTTTTTTTTATCTGTATGTCATTTCCTGACAGTGTTTTCCCTTACTGCACACTTGAAGGATCTTACCATTACTCACTCACTTCTTGACAAACTTACACAGTAACTGAGAGGGCACAGGGAATTTCAAAATGATAATAGATAAGTATTGCATTGTCAATAGAACTGATCACTAGTGAGTCATCTTTCTTCCCTTACTATTTATGCAGTGTGCATCATCCGCAAAAATCTTTTAGACACACATTACTGGTCCCCGATATATGTATTTTATATTATTGTACCTTATGTTCTCTTTATGATGAGCTGTTTTTTAAACATTTAATAATTTCCATTGATGAATAAATGTATTTTGACAACATTTAATATAAGGCCCCATCACATTTAACACTAATTTTGTAATTTGTTTTTAAGGTGAAATGTGTGGACGAATATACACAGAGCCAGGATATTTGTCAGCCTAGTGAAGCTTGGGCTGGATTATCAGGGGGAGTCAAGGTTCAATTCCAGGGGCCCACCTTGCCTCCTCTCCAGTAGGTAGTGGGGGCTATTTAGCCGTAGATAAAGCAACCAGAATGTGAGGCTGAGCTCCATTTCCATCTGTGGTTAGTGCAGTTGGTCTGGGCTCCAGACGAAAATATTCAAAAGGGACAGTAATGCCAGATGAGGCAATTGTGTAGCTTAGAAAGTGTAACCAGCATGGAGGAAGGGATAGTCAGGAAGAGCAGCAACACGGCTCTGAAGCCAAGCTCTACTATTTATCATATTGTTTGAACACTAAATAGATGCAGGAACCAGAATTGGCTCCTTAACCATAGTGCCGAGGTTAAGGATGTGTCAAGTGGTACCTCATGTCACCTGTATCTTAACACTTCGCGGACCGGATGCCTAGGCCTAAGCGTTTGGGTTTTGAATGTGGCAGACCGGTCGCCTAGATTTAGGCTTTTAGGACACGTTATGTTGCAACACACTATTCCTCGCTTTGGTGGCCACGTGTCTGTAAAAGCACTGCGTAGCTGACCTTCGGAATGTTTGTTTTCCGAGTCAGCAACGTGACCACTCTCTATTCCCCTCTCACTCTAAAGAAAAGTCCCTTTGTTCAAGTCGAAGCTTCTATGTGTGAGGCAAGATATTCTCAGTGTCAACATGGCTCAGAGACGAAAGCAGTTGAAGGCCGCACGAGCTCTCGGAGAAGAAGAAAATCTGTGAATTGATCTCCGATGAGTTATCTGACTTGCCAACTGCTTCGTCTTCTGATAGCGAGGGCAGTGTCAGTGGCAGTGACAGGGGCCCCCAAAATATTGTGACCAGAAGAGAAAGTGAAAGTGACAGTGAGAGCTCGGATCAAAGTGCGAGTGCTAGCAATGCGGGGACAGCCACATGGGGTAAAGTGGACAAAACACCCACTTTGGGAAAGTGTACTGGTGATCCAGGGGTGAGACAAATGCCATCAGACCCTACACAAGTGTCTGAAGTAGCTGAACTGTTTTTTGGAGATAGTTTCTTTGACATGTTGTGTCAGGAGACCAACAGATACAATCTCCAACACCGTGAGGTGTACGACAGTACCTATAAGGTGTTGAAGTGGGTGGATGTCACTTCAGCAGAAATGAAAAAATTTTTGGCAATAATCATTCTAATGGGGTTTACAAAGAGGGATAATTTGAAAGACTATTGGTCCACTGATNTTTTTGGTTTTCAAAGAGCTAAATGAAAATTCAACTTTGAAATACAAGGCATTTCTCATGAATGTGGCAAAAGCCTGGGCTACAGATCTCACGGTGGCGGCGGAACCTGCGTCAGACACAGATGTAGTATGACCGGGACCATCTACTCCCACCCACGGAGGCCTCATATGGACCCCCCTGGGCAACTCGGGTGATATGCGGAAACATACCCTNTTTCGAACGTATAATCCTGGGAAACTCACGAAGTATGGCCTACTTCTTTGTGTAGTCACGGAAAGCACTTCAGGCTATATTGGAAATTTAGAAATTTATGCCGGTGAAGGCAAGAAATTGCAAGAAACTGTTGTTTCCATTTTGGATCCCTATATGGATCAAAATTATCACGTTTATCAAGATAATTTTTATAACAGTGTGGCAACTGCAAGGGAAGTACGTATTTGTGGTACAATTAGGGTGAACAGAGGCCTTCCTCCAGATCTGAAAGAGGAATGTAAATCCCTGAAACGTGGTGACACCACATTCAGGAGGAAGGCGGACATTCTTCTTCAGTCCTGGAGGCATACTCGCGTTGTGAATATGATTTCCACTATTCACAATTCGAGCATGGTCAATGTTCAAAGACGACGCGGGCAAGTGAAGAAGAAGCCTCTTTGTATTTCTCAGTACAATATGTTCATGAAGGGAGTTGATAGAGCCGACCAATACTTGGCCTATTATTCCCTTCCTAGGAAAACAGTAAAATGGACAAAGAAAGTTGCCTTGTGGCTTATAAAGTGTGCCCTTTTCAATTCATTTTTGGTTTTCAAAGAGCTAAATGAAAATTCAACTTTGAAATACAAGGCATTTCTCATGAATGTGGCAAAAGCCTGGGCTACAGATCTCACGGTGGCGGCGGAACCTGCGTCAGACACAGATGTAGTATGACCGGGACCATCTACTCCCACCCACGGAGGCCTCATATGGACCCCCCTGGGCAACTCGGGTGATATGCGGAAACATACCCTCATGAAAATTGTGATGAGCGAACAATCGATGGGGAAGTATCCTTCTAGGCAGTGCCGTGTGTGCCCTGTGCACAAGAAGTGAAGCAAGACTTCCTACGTCTGCAAGTTCTGTGTCATGGCCCTTCACAGAGGGGAATGTTTCCAGAAATATCACACTCTGAAGCACTTCTAGGAGCTCTCGTAAGTCTTCTCCAAAAATTTTAGTTCATAAAATTAATTAGGAGATTTTATATTAATTTTAAAAGTGAACAGTGCACAAGTTAGGGTAGTAGGTTTAAAAACGCTGGTCCCCAGGGTGATTTAAATATTTAAATCACCGGTCTGCAAAGTGTTAAAGGCATGGTGCTGAATTAACCATAGCTTTACCACGTTGAGATGTGGCATCTGTATAGACAGAGACAAAATAATGCGTAACGCACCCCTCCGTAGTTACTGCTGGTTCCTCTTTGTATCAACCAGAAGTCTTGTACTAAGTTTTCAGTACGACAAAGTGTATTGCTTGTTTTTAGCCATTATGGTGGGAGTATGCCTGGTGCATTAGCCTTCTGCTCTCATTCTTCGGACTCTCGGCAGTACGGAAGAACCGGATCAGAACCATGCAGCGATACATGAGTGGAATCATAATATTTGGGTTTGGCCCCCTGTTTTATGCTGCAGTATACTATTTCAGGGACACTTGGGAGTACCTACATGAAGGGGAAACAGACAACATCTTGATCTGGCAGGTAAGTTTCTGATATGATCATTTTGTTAAGGCTGATGAGTCCCATCCTCAGTGGGGATGAATTTTTACAGTAACTGTAGCCAGTTTCAACAAATTTCCTAGAGTTCTGAATGTCAGATAAATTAGCTTCTATTATCCAGATGTAGATCTGCTGTTGTGACAGCAATGGCAGCCAGATTTAAACAGTGTAACCGTACGCGTCCTTCACGGAAAGTCTTATTTGTTTGTAAGTAACAGTTAAGTTTAGCTGTAGAAATGAGATGCCCCGGAGGGATCATGGTCCTCTGAACTGGCCTTTTGTTGCGAGGGACAGAAGGGAGGTTGGTGAGTCCATTGCATTCAAGGGGGAGTAGGTATACCTTCTTTCATCCGTGCCTGTGGGGGTGGAGGACCTGTGGATCAAAGCTTCGAGAACGTTCGAGAAGGTGTGAAGACCGGAAGGGGTCCGTGCATTTGGTCATGAAGCCCTCCCAGTGGAAAGTTCGAGATGGCTAAGAACGTGGTTTCTGGAAGCAGCAGCGGGGGTAAGGAGTCAGTTAGTGAGTGGGAGCCGGGGAGTGAGGGAGGAGAAGCCAGGGAGTGAGGGTGTTCATGTGGAACCTGTGCTAGGGGGTTAACTGATCGAGCCCGCATCCAAAAAAAAAAAACGACGTAAGCAAGCTAACACCCGTGTACCCCTGGGATATAAGACTCATTTCGCTGAATTTAGTCAAGGCATACACCGCGTGGAAGTAAAGCGTGTGGGGACGGGTGTAACAGGGCATACTGAAACATCACATACTGTGCCATGGCTGTGAGATCCAACAACGATAGAGCTTAGGCACCAGAATAGAAAAAAAAAAAAAATTTAAATATCAGAGGTTATAAAATGCAGGTTGCTATCAGATAAATAATTTACAGATAGACTTGAAAGGATTCCGACGATGGTGTATACTGTACTTTTGGCTTATTTTGGACTTCACCCATCATCTGGTATGTAAAAGACAAGACCACGACGTTTCGGAGACAGATCCAGTCTCCGAAACATCGTGGTCTTTTGTCTTTTACGTACCAGATGATGGGTGAAGTCCAAAATAAGCCAAAAGAAGTACAAATAATTTACAGTTACAAAAGATATGTTGGAATATCTGTATCCCCCAAACTCACACAACGGTTCCATTCCCAGGAGTGTCATATTGCTCAGAATCTCATAGCTGAAAATTGTTGTTACTTGTTTGGTTTCTCTGGCCATAATGTTCATTTGAAAACATGTCTTGTAATTGTTTTAACTTTATATGCCACTCAGAAGTCCCTCTCTCTTTTTTACACAAATAATTTCATTACTTTTGGTTTTCATTAAAGAGAGATCCATATTAAAATGCATTAACATAAAATTCATATAAGTCCAAGTTTAGGATACTGTAATTATCCCTCCAAACCTAGATTTGTTTGAATATGATAAAGAGCCTATGAAATTATGATCACATTAATATCGTATTACTCTCCTTATTTTAGGGTTATCCTTATGGTCTGCTGTGGTATGCGTTCATCTTGTTGGCTGTTCAAGTTCACCTGTTCTCGTTGTACTTTGCACGGAACTTGATAGCCGCCTGGAGAGCTCGCGGGACGAAGAAAGCCGAATGAAAACCCATGTCCACCCGTCATGTTGTTGCTTGTCAGTGTATGTTGTCCCCTCAGTTAGTACGTGCATGATGTTCAGACACTTGATGGCACACGGCTCCAACTGATGAAAGAGTTGCTCATGTAAAACCATACCCAGAGGCCTAGCAGTTTAAAAGTCAAAGATTAAATATTGCAGAATGCTCATGAATGTTTTAAGACATCCCACAGCCTTATGGGAGATGAAAGTCTGCCACAAATAACTGGTAGCTCCTAACAGTAACTGGTACTTCATGTGCAAGAAATTAAATTTACAGTGACAATATTATACAGGCCTAAATAGTCTTTTAACAAATTATTTGAAAATTGCCACAAAAATCAACATGGCAGTGCAATCTTGAGAAAAATAAAGACAAGTTCTGATTATTTACAATAAAAACATATTCGATTATTGCCTGTTTAACCTTGTTACTAGTGCTACAAGCTATGAAAGAATTATCAAAAGCTTTTTCGTAAAACCTGAACAACAGAAGACACTTCTGCGCATGAGAAGTGCTGGCTGTAAAATATGCTGCATGGCTTGTCCTTCTCTTAGCCTACACAGAAATTATACCGAATTGAGAACCATCCTATAATCTTGTGGTGTCCTAGCATAACCCGAGCGTTTGGCTGAGTCAGTTTCTATATTTTTCTGAAGACAGTGTGCAGCTTTTTTCTTTTTTGAGACAACTCCATGGAGCTCAGCCCTTCTCAAGAAGCCGCCACTTGCGCATCTGTTAAGAATTTTCCAACATTTTATGGAATCCAAAGGCTCATTACCTTGTTCACAAGAGCCATCCACTGGTTCCTGTCCTGAACCAGATCACACCAGACCATCCTATCTCTCTGAGATCTGTCTTAACACTATTATTCTCCCACCAACATCCAAGTCTTCCTGGTGGTCTCTTTCCTTCTGGCTTTCCCACAAAAATCCTGTATGCTTTCTTCTTCTCCCCATGCATGTTACATGCCCTGCCCATCTCATCCTCCTTGACTTGATCATTCTAATTATACTTGGCAAAGAGTACAGTTATCAGGCCCCTCATTATGCAGTTTTCTCCAACCTGCTATTACTTAATTTTCTAGACATACCTCCTAAAAGTGTACAGTGCATTTCTTCATGCATGTTCAGTTCTGTTGGGTAACTAATTAGTAGTTACACCTGAAAATAGGCATAAATTGTCATACAGTCAATATTTTTGGAGGTTTTTGAAGGGAAAAGTGAACATTGTATTTAGACACATAAATTAATCACTAAAATGGCCTAAACATAACCAAAACTATCGTCTCTGTAGGATGTGGCCCGAGCTGTTTAATTTGTGCAGCTGAGTTCATCAGCAACAGTTTACTTTCACAGTTTGCTTCTATTTAGTTGAGACCAAATAGATGCAGACTGCAGTACTTCCAAGGACTTTCCGTTTATGATAGCATTATCTCCAAGGTACCCCGGAGTTCTGACTTATGCAAACATATCCTGTTCCATTGTAGCAAGTGGTGAAGTACATAAACATAGTGCAATAACCTGCTCAGGAGGTGCCATGAATCGAGGGCAAAGATATTTTTGTAAGCTCTGTATGAAGCACAAATGTATATAAATATTTTCAGCTCAGAGTTATTGAAATAGCATGAAAACTTGTTAACTCTGGGTGCACAGTGAAACAGCATGCAGCAATGGAAAAGATAGGAAACATTCAGGGTAAACTGGAATGAAACCCTGTACATGTACAAATGAACACCCTATATAATAGCTGGTAGCAGATGTCTTTGCTGTGATGTGTGTTGAAAGACAGCATCAGGCAGGAGTGAATGGAACGGATAGATTGTAGGATATTGGAGGTAGCCAGTATCGACTTTGTTGTGACAGTCATCCAGGGCTGAGCCACTGGCCTCATCAGATCACTTAAACACTTCCATTAGCAAAAGCCCATTATGTTTCCTCCGTCCATGAGTTGACAACACTGTAATCTGGACCTGTCTCCATTCACAGTTCAATATTGTCATTTTACTACATGCTACTAGCGGAAGGCATAGAGGTGCCACCCCTTTTATGTTGTTTATAGTTACAACATTCACTGCTGTATCCCTGAACTGAAATTTCACCTGCTGGGCCAGCCATTCTTCAACAAAAGCTGGATTTTGAACTTATATTTTAAATGGAAGTGTAAAAGTGAAAACCGATCAACAGTCGGTGTTATGATTCGACTCTTTCAAGCATCGACAAGGTACGCTTAAAAATTATTCTATGTAGGAGAAAATGGTGTATCTGGGTGGGTGAAGATGAAAATTGGTTTCTTTTGTCACAATACAGACTTCTGGAACCTGAAATAGTGGGAAGAGTGAAACAGAGGAGTCCTTGATATCATTTTAACATCCCCTTCCTGTTGTCACACACGTCTTACCTAGACACTCTGTATAAAGATGGAGTGGCCTGTCTCCAGCAGATGTTTGGTATTAATAACACAAAATAATTTCTCTAATTTGATTGTAATATTTTAAGTGCAAGTGTAATTTCTTAATATTTATGTCTTCTGGAATATGATGCCATGTAGTCTTACAGGTATTTACCAGTGTTGTAAGAGGATTGCAGCCAGTTGCTCTGAGATATTGGTAAGTATTTACTACACTACACAGTGGCACATCCTGAAAGAGCATATTCATCATAGTCACTACTGTCAGAATGTCAAGTGTCACAAGCTGAATTCATACGATCTTTATACAGTGCTTTTAAATGATATCAATGAAGGGAAGTTGGCAATCGTAAAATTGTTAATGATGTATGCAGTTATGTTACAGTTGCTATTCCAGTCAGAGCTCCAGAAATACACTTAAAATGTAACAAATTTTACCTTGAAATTCCATAATGTGAACCTTATGTTTCCATTGGCTCCTGTGTTACGGGGTGGGATAGCGGCCTCTGTAGTCTAGGGGTAACGTTCCCACCTCATGACTCAAGGTATGTGGGTTCAAACCCGGCGGAGGTCGTGGAATTTTTAAGGGCGGAAAAATTCAGGGAACAAGTCCTCCGGGAGGGACTTTAAGCCATGTGTCCCATGTCATAGATTTATGGCATGTAAAAGATCCTCATGTCTCTAGGAGACCTCTGAGCAAAATTAGGCAAAAGTTTCCCGCTCAAGTAGTTTCAGATTCCTCTGGTAGATGGGGAAGTATCGGGGATCACTGACAGAGGGGTGGCCGACCTCGCTGGGAGAATGGGGCTGATAGTGAGCACCAGTACTGGAAGGGCATGGTGACTGGTAGAATAATTACAGGGGGATGCACAATAGACCAACAATTGGTCACAGTGCATGGGGAAACCCACCCCCTCAATAATAATAATAATAATAATAATAAATACTGAGTGGGATGGTAGTGTCAAGAATTTTCTGTTCTCCATGTTGCTCAGACTGGCTCTGGGGCTCACCCAGCCTCATATCCAATGGGTCCCGGGGTAAAGCAGCCAGTGCATGAAGCTGACCACTCACCTGCAGCTAGTGTTGAGGTGAAGAAAATGTTGATCTGAATATCCACTTCCCCGTATGCCTTCATGGCATAGTGCTTAATTAGTTAAGCATGGGGGCCACTTTACCTTTCCCTATGTTATGGGTGAAGGTGTATTCATATGCATTTTTTCTTCAGTTCACAGTTGTAAAAAAGACACATTTACACCCATCAGATATGGTAATAGGTATATAAAAATTCAAAGTTTAAGAAAATTTAAAAAACTTAAACCATAAGTAACTAGCTCCATGGAGCCTAGACCTTCTTGTGACAGTCTTCATAGTAGAAGAGTTCCTTTCTTCCTTCCTGAAGGTGGAAGCAGCAAGTTCCTCTAAAGTGTGGTATCTGTCTACCAAACTGTATAGAATTACATCTAAGAAGACTGCCACAAAAACCCTAAATCTTGTTTTGTTTTGTGAAGTTGTTAAAATCTTTTAACGAGATAGTCCTGTAATTTGAGAATCTATTTCATATTTTCCTGCAATTTGTGTATGCATATACACATATATGAAACTTCTCTCAGAAGAGCACATAATCACATTTCTGGAACCCTAAGAGGGATTGTACAATTTTTAACTTCAGTCTTGTTTGTTGAACATTTCCCTTCTTCAGTATTATTAAATTTCACTGGATCTTGATGCTCAGTATTATTAAGTTCCTGAGCATATTGAATTGCAAAATGATCTATTATAAAACATTATACATCCATTTGATGGATTAAAGAATCATAATTTTTGTAACTCATTCATATAGTATTGACAGTATATTCATAGTACTGACAGTTTTCATCAACATTCTGAAGATTGTTCTCAGACTTATGAAAGCCTTAGGCCTCCTCCCGACATGCAGTAGCAGCGAAACAAAGCAGTGCACAGTAAAATCATGTGTTCAGAAGAAAATTGCTTCCATCGTCCCGCAGCTAACACCACAGCCAGCTGTGATAGCAGGTGTTTCTTGGGAATGTCCATATTAAGTACTGAATCATGAGCAGGTGCTATCAGTCATGCTTCTAAAGTCACTCATGGAAAAAGGGCCTTATTGCTAAAACTTCTTTCTAGTTCAAGGTTAATCATCTGCATCACCATCTCATAACTTGAAGGAAGGAATCAGATTTGAAATCTGTTGTTTTACCCAGACAGTGAACTTTATATGTTCATGATATTCTCTTGCCACCAAATAGGAACAGTCAGACTTTAGACACTGTTATGCAGTAAACTTTTCACTTAAGAGCTACTGCTGACCACACAGCTACTTTCAGAGACAATTTTTATTGATGATAGAAATGTATGAACAAGTTTTTATCAGTTGTTAAAGAACAAGACAGCCATCAAGCGTAACAAATATTTACTAGAATACTGAGTCAATAAAATCACATTTTCAGCCCAGTAAGACCATCTTCAGAGGCTCATGTAATAAAAGGAGATTGCTTATGTGTACATTTCTTCCAGGTATAAGATGACGCTGTGGTATTTGTTGTAGTTGCTCTTTGTTTAAGGGTGTTTAGTACATAAGCCTCTGGAGATGGTCCAGTGGAACAAACATGTAAGACAATTTTTTTACTCAACATTTTAGTAAAAATGTGTTACAGTTGAGGGCTGTCTTGTTTCTTAGCAATTAATATAAACGTAACAGTCAAGCTATCTAATTATTAGAAGGTTTATATGGATTGT